GTCATGCCCTAGCCTATCTACTATAAGAATATGAGCGAAATCGAATTTTCGACCCTTGCCGCGAAATTAACAATTTGTCTGATTTTTACGGGCAGGCACTCTTAAATCGATACATAGCACACAGGCAGGTGCCCTTAATGCCAAACAGTTAACAAGCAAAGAATAATATCGCCGTTCAAGGCTCCTGTAAATCCCTCTAATTTTTTTTCCTGATCTTCCCATTTCCTCACGTGCTTCCACGAGCTAGGGTGTGGCTCTCTAGGCATTAAAAGTTTCTACATTACTAGATTGGTAAGCTGAAGCAAGAGCATTTTACTATTACTCTTCTTTACTGTATACCCTCCATGGTGACTGAACGATAACAAAGTATCTCACCATCACATCCACTGCAAACCAAACCAGCTCTTTGATTATTTCCATAGCTACCATTCAGTTTCCATCCGTCATGGGGACATGAAAAGAGCGAACTCTCGTTTCCAACACACTGCACGTTGTTTGTCCATATCGTTCCATGTTCCTGGTTACTAGCTGGAACGATCTGTGCTGCAGACGAGTTGGTGAGACCTAACTCTCTACAAACCACATCAGCGTTTTGTTTATCCCACTGTTCATCACAAACCCAGCCCCAGGTGTTGTTATAAAACACTTGTACTACACCTTCTGGCGGCGAAGCTGGAGCTCCAACAATTCACTGCAATTGTAATCATATATTATGTAAAGAGTAAAACAGTATTTTCCATTAAATTGAAAATTATCATTAACACTAAATTAAAATGCCATTAAATTATGTTCAATCTCTGCATCCATCTACAATGACCAATTCCCTTTGTGAGTCATGCCTGCAGGGAATCATGGTAGTTGTGTATTCATTATTTTGGACTGAATATTTGTTTTGGTGAAAACAACTACCGCGATCGATTCCCTGCAGGCGCTTGCCAAAGAGGGAATTGGTCAAACGATACTTAAATCTTATTGAGGTTAAACATCAACCGAAAGGCAGCATAAAATTATAAATGAAAAGATTATGACGCCTTTTTAACAACTGACCATAATTATTATTACTAGAAGAGTTGAACATTCCTCAATTGCAAGTAGCATATGTTTTTTATGTAATACGAAAGACAAACCTTTAGGAGTACAAATTGCAATGCTTTGGCCAGTGCCAAAACTTGTTTCACGTTGTTCAGAAGAAACTTTCCATTCGTCATGTGCGCAATACAGAACTGAGCTTTCGTTCCCGATACATTCCATAAATCCCAGACATATTTGTTCAGTTCTAATTTCTCCATATGGTTCATGATAAACAGGAGCTGCTAAGGCGCCTTCGTGACCAAGCTGATGACAAACTACGTTCGCGTCTTGTAGGTCCCAGAAGTCACTGCAAACTGACCCCCAGAATCCTCTGAACAGTACTTGCACTTCAGGTTGCCAACTGAACTGGTCTCTGTGGGTGAGCCGGACTGCAAGGAAAGGAACACAAGTTATTATCTTGACATGATTTCTCTGGTAATTAAGAATGGCTGACTGTTAGGATCGAGAAACGCCGGTCAACGTCCCGTTTGACAAATCGCTCATATTTTGCCCAAAGATACCCTTAGGTGACCTAATTCTAAAAATCATATTTAAAGGTTCCAGCCAATTTTTATGTTTCAGAAATTCGCGAAAATTTGAAAGCGCGGTCAAAGTGCGGTTTTTCGTGTAATAAAATGACCGAAATAAGGTGCGATGACGAAGCGCTGCTTAAGTCTTAAAATAACCTCAATTGACTTCAAACTTCACACAAATGTGGAACAACCACTCTAA